CGCCTCTGGGTCAAAGCTCCATGTACCGTTTTGGCCTATCTACTTCCCACTTTCTTTGAGGATTCCAATCCATTGCCTGTCTGATTATATATCTACTTAGCTTACGCATGTGATGGTGGTCAGTAGTACAGATGAAGTAGAGTATAAGCTCCTGTTAACTCGGGATTTAAAAAGAGAGTGCAGTCAGTTCCATATCCAACAATGACCAAACAGCAGTAACCACGCCCCATTGTCTACGCTAAAGATATTTCTGAATGTTATGGATAAACGAAAAAGAAAACTAACTTTTTAGTATATATATATATATATATATATATATATATATATATATATATATATATATATATATATATATATATATATATATATATCCCTCATTCGTGCTCCCCTTAACCTCACCTCCCTCGACCCTTTACTCACACATGGTCTCAAATAAGAAGAAGGGTTAAACCAAGATTACATTTTTGAGTATTTAGTGTTAATAGAGTTGTTTCCCCTTCTAAGGAAATCGACAATATGAACAGCTATGAAAACCAAGAAATAAAAGTTGTTATTACTGTTAAGTGTTGAAATCTTTTGCTAGCTCGGTTGATTGCTGCAAATTCATAGCAAATCGCTAGATCTATAGGATACAGAAATTGATTGGAGGCACAAATAAAGATTTACAGCCGTGAAACATTTTCAACATAAAGTGCAAATTTTGAAAAGATGAGAACATTTCTTAACAATAACAGAAATGTGATTTTAAAAAAACAGATGCAAGCCTTAATATTTCTCGACAATTCCTAAAATGTGAAATTTTTTAAAAAGCTGTAAAAATTTCCATATAATCGCTAAAATGTGCACATTTTTAAAAAGCTGAAAATAAAATATAAACAATCGATAAACTTCAGCTTAAAAGATTACCTAGCTTCATCTTTTGTTAGTAGTCCTCACTTCTGCCAACATTTTAAAACATGGATTACTGCAGGGTTTCTTATTTAGAGGGTGGGGAACTATGTTTATTTAACTGTCGTAGTTACGTTTTACTGGCTAGGGGGGAGGGGGTCGGGTCCGTCATTTTGTGATTGTGTGTGATTAGGAGGAGTGGGGGGGGGGGAGGGTTCAGATGGTGTGACGTCACACTTTTGCATTATTTAAAAAAAAACAATGTTAGAAAACGAATTGTAGCCGTAATTTCGCGTGGAAAAAATATCGTATTTTAAGAAAAATTCAACTGCAATTTTGAGGGGGGGGGGGGGGGAGTTGTAGGCTGAGGTGTGACGTCAACTAACCATAAACCTAATCCTGACCCACATATGTGCGTAACTGGTAAAAAAAAATGGAAATATTATTAAAAGTGTTGCACCTTCGTCTTAATCAGAGTTTCTTTCATGCATCTCTTCGAAGAAAGTCTACCGCCCTTGAACGAAATGGAATTTATATATAATTTATATATAATGGAATTTTTAAACTTTTAATAGCGTGTCCTCTCTCCGAAAATTTTTGTCCGTTTAAACATAGCAAACATTTTTGTCCGGTTTAACATAGCAAGTAGAGTTGTGACATTAACATAGCAAGTAGAGTTGTGACATTAACACAGCAAGTAGAATTGTGGCATTAACACAGCAAGTAGAGTTGTGACATTAACATAGTAAGTAGAGTTGTGACATTAGCATAGCAAGTAGAGTTGTGACATTAACATAGCAAGTAGAATTGTGACATTAACATATCAAGTAGAGTTGTGACATTAACACAGCAAGTAGAGTTGTGACATTAACATAGCAAGTAGAGTTGTGACATTAACACAGCAAGTAGAGTTGTGACATTAACACAGCAAGTAGAGTTGTGACATTAACACAGCAACCACCTTTTCTGATCACATTTATCATTCTCATTACGTAACGAAGCATAGGATCAACACAGAAAGCCGACACAGTACAAATGCTGGCTTAGACGCAAAACCTCAAAAAAAAAACTAATAGGGACGGGAAAAGGCCGACTGAGGAGAAGCCGACAAACGAATGGCCAACGGCAAAAATATAAATTGAAAACACAATGATGTAGCAAAATTTATTTTGCAATTAATTTTTCTACCGCTTATTTAACTAAATACGTAACAAAAGTTGAGGTTTCTGTTTTAATTACGTCATATTCTTTTTAGGTATTATTGGTATAAACCATAATACTTTTACGTTGATAAATACGCTACCAAAACAAAAACAACCCACACGAACGAAAACCGCAATTTTTCAATTCTCAACAATTAAGTCAAAAGCTTTTTTGTGACTTTTCTTCTGTGACTTTATTTCTGTGACTTTTTTTTTCCAATAACACTTTTCCTTTGTGTATTTTTTACCTGTGACTTTTTTTCCTAGCAAAAACTGAGACTTTTTCCCTGTGTTTTTTTTCCCTTCACCATGTGATGTAGTCTTCTTTCATTCATTTAAGAAACCGCAATCGACTTCTATTTTTATACTAGCCGTCACGGCCAGGCCCTGCACTGGCTTCTGTGAGAACCTTATTTGTAAAGAACCATAACATGTGTGTTTAGTAATCAGCATTTAACACTTGAGGCAATGGAAGTATTATTTTTTCTTATATGCTTTTGTAATCCTTGGTTACATACATACAGAATTAAAACTTGTGGGCTTATGTAACAAACAACATAATTTTATATGTGGTAGTGGTCTTGGAAAATGTTATAGGCCTATAGGCTAAGGAAACAACTTATTATGGATATAATATGCATTAGTGGTCTTGGAAAATGTAATAGCCTATAGGCAGTGGCGTCGCTTAGTTCGGTGTCACCCCAGTGGTGTGTATGAGTGTATAAGTATAAGTTTTAATCACTGCATACTTAACAGTAACGATGTTTATATATAGTCAGTTAATAATACAGTTGGATGTATATAAAATATATGCCACATACACTTTAACACACTATGGTCTAATTGGAATTTTAATGTTAGAATACAGACATTGTCAGAAAAACAATTAAAAAAAACATTTAGTTAGAAATTTTTATTTCTTGTTACAATCCCACAGCAACAATTTCATTAAAATTAAAGTGTTTTTAAAAATAAAGAAAACAAAAGAAAAAACAACAAAGCATAAATTATGCTAGAAATAGGACACCAAAATGTCAGAACATAACCAATACAGCGTTAGTCTTTTTTGTCTTTAATGCCTTTTAATTTGCAACTTGTATGCAGTGTTACTGTTTGCAAATAGAAAAGAAAATGGGATAGAGTCAAGAATTAGAAACTGATAGTTGTTTTAGGGAATGATCCCACTTACACTTCTCAGACTGAGACCAAAGAAAAGATAACTATAAATGTTCAGCCACAAGGATGGTCTAAATTGGGTAATTTTAATATAATAATTTATTAATAATAGTCTGTTATTATCTTTTATTTTCATTTAAATGTATGCAATAAACATCAATTTAGCTGTATTTGCATATAAAATACGAAAATATATACCAGTGACCTAGAAGTAGAACTAAAACATGCTATCCTATTATAAATATATACAGTTCATGAATGAATTGAAGATTAGAATGTCTATTCGTTTGGTGCTTACATGCTATCCTATTATAAATATATACAGTTCATGAATGAATTGAAGATTAGAATGTCTATTCATTTGGTGCTTACATGCTATCCTATTATAAATATATACAGATCATGAATGAATTGAAGATTAGAATGTCTATTCATTTGGTGCTTACAACTTAACATGCTATCCTATTATAAATATATAGAGATCATGAATGAATTGAAGATTAGAATGTCTATTCATTTGGTGCTTACAACTTAACATGCTATCCTATTATAAATATATACAGATCATGAATGAATTGAAGATTAGAATGTCTATTCGTTTGGTGCTTACATGCTATCCTATGATAAATATATACAGATCATGAATGAATTGAAGATTAGAATGTCTATTCATTTGGTGCTTACAACTTAACATGCTATCCTATTATAAATATATAGAGATCATGAATGAATTGAAGATTAGAATGTCTATTCATTTGGTGCTTCAACAATTAAAAAAATATTATCATACACTATTGTGGGTAAAGTTTTCATGACCAACATCAGATTTATAGAATTTATTTCCTGAATGAACAAAGTGAAAACCCTTTATGACAAAGTTATGACATTCTTAAGGCTTAACCAATTTTTTTGTGTTTGCTTAGAGAAGAACTATATGAAAACTTTTTAATGAAAAAAATCATTCATATGAATTATCTGCTGAATGAATTCTTTTGTGTCTATTAAAATTATAACTGTTTGAAAACTTTTTATGACAAACATCACATTTGTAAGGCTTAACCCCTAAATGAATTTTTATGTGTATTCTTAGAGTAGAACTGTATGAAAACTTTTTATGACAAAGATCACATTCATAACGCTTAAAAAACATTAAATGAATTTTTTTATGGTTTCTTAATCTAGAACTGTATGAAAACTTTTTATGACAAACATCACATTCATGTGGCTTATCTCCTGAATGAGCTTTTTTATGTTTACTTAAACTATAACTGTTTGAAAACCTTTTATGACAAACATCACATTCATAAGGCTTAACTTCCAAATGAATATTTTTGTGTTGGCTTAGCTTAGAACTGTTTGAAAACCTTTTATGACAAAGATCACATTCATAAGGCTTAACTTCCAAATGAATATTTTTGTGTAGGCTTAGAGAAGACCTGTATGAAAAACTTTTATGACACAGATCACATTTATAAGGCTTAATTTCTATATGAATATTTTTGTGTTGGTTAAGAACATAAATGTTTGAAAACTTTTTAAGACAAACACCACACTCATACGGATTATCAGAATTATCTGCTGAATGAATTTTTTTGTGTCTATTAAAATGAGAACTGCCTGAAAACCTTTTATGACAAACATCACATTCATACGGATTATCTGCTGAATGAATTATTTTGTGTCTATTAAAATAAGAGCTGTCTGAAAACCTTTTATGACAAACATCACATTCATAAGGCTTAACCATTAAATGAATTTTTTTGTGTCTGCTTAGTGAGGAACTGTCTGAAAACCTTTTATGACAAACATCACATTCATATGGATTTTCTCCTGTATGAACTCTTTTGTGTCTATTAATATAAGAACTGTCTGCAAACCTTTTATGACAAACATCACATTCATAAGGCTTAGCCATTAAATGGACTTTGTTATGTTTATTTAAACTAGAATTGCATGCAAACTTTTTATGACAAACATCACATTCGTAAGGCTTAACCCCTAAATGAATTTTAATGTGTATTCTTAGAGTAGAATTTTCTGCAAACTTTTTATGACAAACATCACATTCATAAGGCTTAACCCCTAAATGAATTTTTTTGTGTTTGCTTAGTGTAGAACTGTCTGCAAACCTTTTATGACAAACATCACATTCATAAGGCTTAACCATTAAATGGACTTTCTTATGTTTATTTAAACTAGAACTGCATGCAAACTTTTTATGACAAACATCACATTCATAAGGCATAACCCCTAAATGAATTTTTATGTGTATTCTTAGAGTAGAACTGTATGAAAACTTTTTATGACAAAGATCACATTCATAACACTTAAAAAACATTAAATGAATTCTTTTATGGTTTCTTAAACTAGAACTGTATGAAAACTTTTTATGACAAACATCACATTCATAAGGCTTAACCATTAAATGGACTTTCTTATGTTTACTTAAACTAGAAATGTTTGAAAACCTTTTATGACAATCATCACATTCATAAGGTTTAACCACTAAATGAATTTTTTTGTGCCTACTTAAATTAGAACGGAGTGAAAACTTTTTATGACAAAGATCACATTCATGTAACTTATCTCCTGAATTAACTTTTTTATGTTTTCTTAAACTAGAACTGTCTGAAAACCTTTTATGATAATCATCACATTGAAGAGGCCTCTCCCCTACTTGAGCTTGTTTATGTTTATTCAAGTTAGATCTTTGAAAGAACTGTTCATGATGATCAACAGAAACAAATGTTTTATCTTCAGAAAGTTTTAGCTTTTCTTCTAGTCCTTTTTGTTGTTTATCCTCAAAATCTAAAAATGTCCATAAATCTGGTTTTATGTCTTCACTTCTTGATAACGTCGCTAATTCTGATTTCATATCTTCGCTAGCTAATAATATTGCTAATTCTGATTTTATATCTTCGCTAGTTGATAACGTTGCTGATTCTGATTTTATATCTTCAGATCCTGTACATATTGCTGATACAGTAGGTTCCATATCATTATTAATTAAAAATCCTGTTGTTAAATCTTGAGAAGTTATAAATGTCATATTGTGTTTTACATCATCTAAGGATGAAAATGTTGTATTTTTTGTTTTTGTTTCTTTAGAAGATAAAAATTCTGGTGGAACATTGGTTTTAAAATCCTGTGAAGTTATAAATGACATGTTTGGTTTCCTATCATGGAAAGTCAAAATTGTGGACACTTCTGTTTTTATGTCAGCAGAAGATGAAAATACTGTAGATAGCTCTGGCTTCACATCTTCAGAATATGAAAATTTGGTTAATTCCTCTGACTGTATATCTAAATCACCTGTTGCCTCTCCCATGCTGCCCTGCTTCTTATAAATGAACTGAGGATAAAATATTTTAAATGTTAATTCAAATTGATTTCAAACTTTTAAATATATTTATAGGCCTAATAGCTACAGTAGATTGGAGTTTATGTTGGTTTAAGATTTAAACTAGGCGGTAGTGCTCATTTTGGTGAATGATAGAGCAGTGGCGTCGATAGGTTGGGTGTCACTCACATATATATATATATATACATACACATAAAAGTGTGTTGGCCTACATAGGGCTAAAATTAAAATGTATGCCACATACACTTTAATCACTACAGACTTAATAGCAATGATGGTTAAGAAAACAGTTGGATTAAGTATTGTTTTCTTAATACTTAGCAATTTGACATCATGATGTTGCCCCCATCCTCTTGTAATAATTGTCGGTTTGTACTAAAAAGAATATTTTACTTTAATTGATCATTATAAGAACTGGTAAAAATCATTTTTCTTTTGTACTTTTTGCAATTTTTTTGCCTTGGTGTCACCCCCCTAAATGGTGTCACCCGGTGTGGTCTGCACCCCGCCCCGCCCCACCCTTGCTAGGCCTCTGTGATAGAGGAAATACTCAACATGCTTAGATCATCACACATGAAGATATGTTTATCCTCTTCTGTTTGAGAGGAAATAAACTGCTCTTAATGCCTTGCTTTTATTTTCTTAGACTATCCCTTACACCTTTAACCTAACGGCCTAGCCCATAAGCCTAACCTTAAAGTCCAACCTTAACCTCTAAGCCTAACCCTAAGTTAAATCTAATGCATTAAAAAATGATATTAATGCCATTTGCATCAATAACAAAAATAAACCTCGAGTGATCTCCCCAAAACTTTCTCGAATATTCCTATATAAAACATCAGGGGATGGGAACTCAGGATATGATGATTTTTAATCCATTCTAAATACTTAAAGTTTTTAAAATAGAATAAAATCTCGTGGAAAAAGAATTGCACACCAAGTGAACGCCAAATAAAATGTGCATAATAGTGCGCAATATTATTAGTACTCTATAAATTTACATTAGTTTTTTGAGAAATCTGAAATACCGTAAATTACTACTTCCAGTCGACGGAAATTACTCAAAATTTGATAGAAGGCAGAGAATTAGATGTTTTACTTACATGTGAAATTTTATTTATCTATCTGAAATAGTACTCAAGTTATAGGCTTTTGTTAAAAGTAGAAAAAGTACCACTTTCGGTTATTGGAAATCGCTCAAAGGTTGATACGGATCTACAATTTTTATAAAATACTTATATATGAAATTTCATCAACCTAGAAGTAACGGTACTCAAAATATCGTGTTAACACACAGACACATGGACAGAATTGGATTATCCAGTTTTTACAACTCCATAAAACGCCAAAATTTTGATAAATCTGGATTTGTAATTTTTGCCTGATTAAAATAAGTCCACTATATCCTGGATGTGATGAAGGACTGAGGAGTAAAAGTGTGAAAACTGTCAAAATGTCATGTTATTTTTGTGCATGATTACAATACTTTCTCTATACTCTGTATACGAGAAAGTAAAAAAATAACACAATCAAGACAGGTCTTGAAACAGAAACTAATAGGCTGTATTTGCGAGGAATGTTCTGCAGCCCACTAAATCTATTTCGTAGGTTGAATGTGATCTAAAATTACATATCAGGACGACTTGATTTTTTTGTCTAAGCAATTCAATTTTGACATAAACTTTAAATGTTTTATTTCAATACCAATGTAGCACAGGTTAAAAATACAAAAAAGAATAAAATCTTAGTGAATCTGGAACTAGTACTTGTAGAAGGACAATACAGTGTCAGCAGTAGGTCAGATGATAGTCCTACTAGATCTCGCTAAATCTCACTGTTGTTTAGTAAATTGTTTTTAGCGCTATCTAGCATGTGTGGTAGTAGATCTAAGTTAATAAACCTATGTGAACTTACAAAAAATAAATGAAAAGCAGGTTTGTTTTTGCTTGAAATGGGGGGGGGGGGGGGGGAATGACATCGACAATCTCAAATAGAACTTGTTTTAATTCTATGACTATACTATAGTATAGGCCTGCTGAACTCAGAGTGACCACGCCGACTAGGGTGGGATTTTGGCCAGTGGGCTAGCAAAAGTAAGTAAGCAATTACACGAGTGACAATGTTTGGAAATTTTATTAAAAAAAATAAATCACACATGACATTTGTAATGTGTAGAAAATAAGATGTAAAAAAACAGTTTTCCGATCATGCAAACTCAAAGCTGAGGGGAAATTAAGGGGAAATGACTCAAAATAATACTTTCTTAAGATGGCAGCTGTTTTTATAATTGCAAATTTAGTATCTGGAACATCGTTGTTAAACATGTATTTTTATTGATTTAACCCTAAACTGTGGTTTAATATTCAATTATCTTTAGTATTTTAATACAATATGCAAAAGCTATATTTAAGCCATATTCATTAGTGACCTTATCCTTACATTATTAGCACCGACCGAATTGATTACGCTAAAACGATAGATTACCCAAGATAGTTTTTTTTTTCTAAGATGATAATTATAATTAATAATATTTTTTTAAATAGATCTAGATCTATACCTGATACTGTAATCCAGGGGTTCCCAACCCCGTGCCCGAACGATTCGTATGTGCCCGCCTCTCATATTCGATAGAGACAGAATTTTTTTTATAAACATTATTGAAAGGTTGAAGGGGATGGAAATCGAAAGTTTGAGGAAAGGGGGGGGGGGTGCAAATCAAAAATTTTAAGGGGGGGGGGGGGCAAACAGAACGAAAATTTTTGAGGGGGGTGTGCAAATCGAAAGTTTTGTACCCGGGTGACTGGAAGGGTCGCTACGCCTCTGGATGGAGTTTGTCGATTTAAAATAGGTGGTGCCCGCCACCCTACTGATATTTTAGAACGTGCTCTAGAGTAAAAAAAGGTTGGGAACCCCTGCTGTAATCTATCATTTTAGATAGGCCTACGTAAAATTGGCTGAGGCTAATAATGTGTAAAAAAGGGGACTAATTAAATTAAATTTTAGTAATTATTTCACATTTTAAGAGGATTTGTTTTGCAAGTTACAAAAAAGTTTCATTTATGTAGATCTAGAATCTATTCTATAGCCTATGCTAAAAATGCTATTATTAAATTTAAAATCAATTAAGTTTGTAGGATTTCTAGGCTTCACTACTAACCTAGGGTTGCGTGGCAGCTATCACATTCTTTGTCAAGTATTGTTTTCAAAGTGAATACGCAGAGCATTCCAAGTATTTTAGAATTCCATATAACGCATTCTAAAATTAGGTGTAATCTCATGATGTAGCATCGGAAATTATTCGGTAATGTTTGTTGAGCTTCGTTAATATTTGTTACTGTAACTACTAACATAGTTTATTTGACCATTGAAATAAAAATAAAGTCAAGTGCATTAAATTAATGTTTTAACTTAATTTAAAGTTTAATTGGCAGAAAATTAGCAACAATTAATAGATCTAAATATTAATAATAAAAAGTCGTGTGTAGTAATAAATGTATTTTTAAGAAACACGGAAAAAACTTGCAGAAGGATTGTGACAACTAGATCTAGATCTAGGCCTAGTAAGTAGTAAAATAAGACGATTAGATTTACTAAAGTTTAAAGTAGTTAGAAGAACTAGAACAATGTTTGGTATCAGCAATAATTAGCACATACACTTACAATAATTAGAAATACAAAATAATTAGGCCTAACAAAACAGTAGGCGGCCTAGGCCTAGGCTGTTTAAAATGTAACTAATAGACGCGGGCGATTTTAGTAATTTACGTACCCAAAACGATAGATTACCCTTAATTTTCATTATAGATCTAGATCTAGATCTATTCTAGATCTAGATCAAGATCCTACCTGTTTTTAAACAATAGTATTAAATTACGACCAGCAATGTTTTCATCAGATGCAACCACACACATTTACTTTAGCAGACATCTGTTGTTTTTTTTTGTGTGTAAAAGATTGTGTTAGATATTCAGGGGAAACCACTCTAAGAGTTAGAGAAGACCACTCAACCACTGTTTAATGTTTATATTAGCTAGTTGCACACAATTTTTAAAATAAATAAAGTGACAAAATAATGACGGGGTTGTTTTAAGGGGACTAAATGTTGCAAAATGGTACCAAATTTATGTTTATAGGATAAACGGTTCTCTAGATATGACGGTTTTAGTGTAAAAATTGCGGGGACAACCAAGCCTATGAAAAATGAAAGCAAAAAGTGGTCTCATCGAGAGCGTAGAAAAAATGCGAAAGGGAAATAACTCTGCGTAGGCGCACAATTATAAAATTTTCAAATAAGTATTTTTAAATGCATTTTTTTAAAAATGAGTATCTCTACCAAGATATTAATAAATTATTTAATTTAAAAGTGGTTTATTAAAAATCATTTAAATAAAAATATACCACTCGATATATTCAATCATTAAACTCAAACGTCATAATAATAGTAAAAATAAAAGAAACTGGCTGATTAAAAAAGAATAAACATTCCTAATTCCTAGGTAAGGGGCAGAGTTTCTTCCAGGCATCTCTTCGGGGTGGGGGGGGGGAGTTAAGCCCCCCCCCCCCCCGAAATTTTTTTTACCGCCCCCCCCCCCCCCCCCCCCCCGAACGAAATGAAATTTATATAATTTATATAGAAAATATATACTTTTAACAGTGTCCGCCCCCCCCCCCCGAAGAAAGTTTACCGATCCCCCCCCCCCCCCGAAAATTTCAAGTGCCCCCCCCCCGGAGAAAAAAGTCTGGAAGAAACACTGGTAAGGGGTAATCCATAAATGACGTCACACTCGTAGGGGGAGGGGGGTCCGTAATTTTGTGACGATGTGTGATGAGGGGGAGGGGGGTGGGGGGTTCAGATGTTGCGACGTCACATTTTTGCATTATAAAAAAACAATGTTAGAAAACGAATTTTAGACGTTATTTCGCGTTTTATATAACTGTTTTAATAAATTGTAATAGTTTAGACAAGATTTTGGAAAAATATCGATGTTTAAAAAAAAATTCAACTGCAATTTTGAGGGGGTTGTATGTTGAGGCGTGACGTCATTTTAGGGGGGGGGGTCTGGCTTTTTGTGACGACGTGTGACCAAGGGGAGGGGGAAGGTAAAAATCGTCAAAAAAGCGTGACGTCATTTATGGATGACCCCTGAACGGTATCATAGAGACAGCTCAGTACAGTGCAACATATATGAGTGTTTTTGACATATTGGAGGCATGTCAGTTGAGAGATAATCTTTGGGTGTCGTTAGATAACTGAACATATCTAGCGCGAAACAAACAGCAACGTTATCAAGAATCGAGCATTTCACACAGCTACGTAGACAGACGCTAGACACGAGGATTTCTGTCGGACTTTTGCCTCCAGTTTTAAATACGACACCTTGCCACCTGGTTTTGAACGTGATGGACAGCTTGGGATGACCTACGGTCACCAGGTCGGGTACCGATCTATCAGTTTAGTTAGCGGGCGTACTACATACTAGACCACACTGTCCAGTTGTGATAACATTTAACAAAATCTTGGCGATACGGGTCTGGAAAAACGTCTTACAACAATAAGGATAAGCTATTGATGGGGGAGGGGAATGTGTGTAAAAAAAAAGAGTGCTTTTATTTGTGGACGATGAAAGGCAGATTCAATTCCGTACAACGTTTAGAAAAGCAAAAGGTACCCCAGTACTAGATCTACATAGCTAACTTATCAACCATACTTTACATACTTTCATTTAAATCAACTTCATTTTAGATGTAGTATTCGAAAAAAATCAATCACACTAACTTAACAAAAGCAACTCAATTAGCACCCGACTCAAACTAAAGGTCTTTAACTCAGAAAGTCTCCCTCCCCCCCCCCTCCTTATACATTCGTTATTTGAGTGTGAGTGGGTATCAAGCAAATAAATATAGGCCTTTTTTGTTTACAAGGGTATATTTTATTCTTTAGCAAGATAAACTAATGGGATATGAAATAAATGAAGACTACCAGGATACACATTCAGCTTTTTACAATAGAATGAACACACTCGTAAAAACTAAAATGTTGTGTTTTAACTAATATTTCTTATCTATAATAATAGTTTCGCTGTCTGTGTATCTATGTATCTATCTATCTGACAAGAACGCTCTGACAAGAACGCTCTAGAGAAAACATAAGCAAAAATTCTATCTGACAAGAACGCTCTAGAGAAAACACAAGCAAAATAAAAACCTGCATAGTAATTCGAAAAACGAAGTATGACGTCGACACATTTAGCATTGAAATGAAAATAATCTCAAGGCGGAAAGTGCACACAGTATTATAATGACGCCATTGATTATCGCGTAAACATTGAATAAAAAGGAAATGTTGTCTAATCTAAATGGTTTGCGTGAAGAGTTTCTTGCATACAATTCTTCGGGTAGGGGCGAAGCCCCACCCCACGCGTAAGAACGTCTGAGCCCCCCCCCCCCCCCTCCCCAACTCAAAAGAAATTTCTTCATCGATACTCTATAATAAAATTACCGCCTAATTAATGTGTCTAATCTAAAAAGTGGTTTTCTTGCAATTTCTTTAATGCAATTCTTCGGGTAGTGGCTAAGCGCGACACCAGTGTTTCTTTCAGACTTTTTCCTCCCCGGAGAGGGGTGGGGGTAATTGAAATTTTCGGGGGCGGGGATAGAATTTTCGGGGAGGGGGGGCGGACACTGGAAAAAGTATATAATTATATTTCGTTGAATGGGACGGTAGACATGTTTTTTTTGGGAGTGGGGGGTGGGGGGTAGGGGGTGGGGGTGGTGTGTGTGGGGGGGTGGGGTGGGGTGGTTTCCTCATCGATACTCTATAATAAAATTACCGCCTAATTAATGTGTCTAATATAAAAAGTGGTTTTCTCGCAATTTCTTTAATGCAATTCTTCGCGTAGTGGCTAAGCGCGACACCAGTGTTTCTTTCAGACTTTTTCCTCCCCGGAGAGGGGTGGGGGTACTTGAAATTTTCGGGGGCGGGGGTAGAATTTTCGGGGAGGGGGCGGACACTGGAAAAAGTATATAATTATATTTCGTTGAATGGGACGGTAGACATGTTTTTTTGGGGGTGGGGGTGGGGGGGGTGGGGGCGGGTGGGGGGTGGTGTGTGGGGGGGTGGGGGTGGTGTGTGTGGGGGTGGGTGGTGTGTGGGGGGTGGAGGTGTGTGTGGGGGGTGGGGGTGGTGTGTGTGGGGAGTGGGTGTGTGTGTGTGGGGGTGGGATGGTTTTAGTTTAGAGAAAAGAGACAGCACTATCAGCCTAGCGCCCGTTGTACCCTTCCTCAACGGGCCATTTATCTAGTATTAATAAGATTTGGATCCCGCACAGTCTACTTGGTGAATTTAACCACTATTCAATTAATAATTTCGACCTTTGGCTTATAATTTTTAAGACCGCTTGGATACATCTTTATTTTACATTTTAAATAGACCTAATGGCCTAATAATTTAAAACAAATATAACGGAATACGATAGCGGAGAAAGGTAGAATCGACGTCGCTAATACTTAGGCCTACGGTATCTATTTTGTTAGTCGGGGTTTACATCTTGTGAACGTCTGAAGAAGAAAGTAAAAACATTTGTGAAAATAACAGTAATAAACCGGGAGTGATCTCCCCAAAACTTTCTCGAATATTCTTATATAAAACTAGAATACCCGTCATCCGTTGGATAACTGTGGGTTTCGGAGGTCATCCATCAAAAAACACCACGTCTGTCACTCAGAGGCATAGCGACCCTTCCCGGCGCCCGGGGACAAACTTTTCGATTTGAACCCCCCCCCCCCGCAAGATTTTGATTTGCACCCCCCCCCCCCTCAAACTTTTGATGTGCATCCCCCCCCCCCCACTCAAACTTTCGATTTGAACCCCCCTCAACCTTTCAATTTATTTTTCCAAACCATTTTAGCGCCCCAACATATGTCCCCCCCGCCCCCCCTTCCCCCTCCCCCCGCCTCCCCTTCCCCCCCCCCCCCCTCCCGCCCCCCCCCTCCTCGCTACGCTACTGCAGTGTCACTTATCGTCGCAAAAAACAGACCCCACATTCAAAAATATGTTTTTTATCTTTTAAAAACACCGAAAACACCGATTTCGGACTATCCCTTCATATACTGACGTCACATGTGACCTACTCAACTCTACTTCATCTACCCAGTGTCCCGCCAAGTCTCAGACATGTTTTTATCGTTTAAAAAACGATTCCAGCCGAGCATGTCTCTGACCACACTATCCTTTCATATGCTTAGGACAAAGAAACAGATGAACTCTACTTCACCTGCCCTGTATCCTGCCAAGTTCAGATAGGAAACTTTATCATTCACATCTAAAAAAAAAATTGAAAAAAAATATATCATTGACATATTGGTCTAGAACCT